TTTTAGTGACTGCACATCTGGGTGCCCAGGCCTTGTCTAAGAAGGAAGCATTGTTATGTTTTTGTTAAAAAAGTTCATCAGATAATAGGTATTTTTGAATTGTTCCCTCTGTGGTTACTGAGTGAATTGTCAAGTTTGTAATTGGTTACATATGCAGCGGGATGCATGGGAAGCAAAGCATGAATCCTGTGACATGAGTAATGGGGTAAAAGTGAGCTCCCATGTGAATGTGGAGAACAAGAGGAAAAGCAGGTTTGAAGGGGAACTGAGTTCAGTCTTGTACACATTGAGTGTCAGATGCCTGTAGAATACACAAAAAGAGATGTCCAGTAAGCAATTACATATAAAATATAAAGCTCAGAGGACAGGGCTAGGGGTGTAGCTCAGGGTTACCACACTTGCTTGGCATGTGCAAGGCCCTGATTCAGATTCCCAGCACCATAATACACAAACAGAGCTCAGAAAAGAGACCCCCATCTAGAGATACATATTTGGGATTCATTAATTAAAAAAAAAAAAAAAAAGGATAGTTTGGAATCCTTTGAGTGACTGGATGAGATGTATTTTAGGATAAGGGCATGTGGAAAGACAACTTGAAAGGACAAGAGAAGGTAATGAGGGTGGGTAAATATGACGAGAGCATGCCTGCATGCATGGAAATGTCACAATGAACCCTGTTACGTGTAAGCGTATACCAGTTTAAAACGCTTCTCTAAGAAACCTAGAACTGTGTCTTTGACTCTTTAGTGGTCCGATACATGGAGGTAAAAACTCAGAGAAAGGAATGGAAGGAAAGGAAGTCAGTGTGTTAAAACAGGAGGGAACTGCACACTTGGAAAGAATGTGGCTGAGAGATTAAGCAAAGACATTTTGCTGTATTTAGTACCTTGAAGGTCACCTTTGATTTAGCAGGAGCTCTCAGAGGGCAGTGGAGTAGAAACCTGTCTTCAGAGCTGGCTGGTGATTGGAGACTGCGTTAGTCTATTTCATGTTACTACAATGAAATACCTGAGGTAAATTAACTTTGTTTAGAAAACGAGTTTGCCTTGTGTTCCCATCTTGTTTTGATCTTTTATTTTTGTGAGATCTAGTCTGGCTATGTAGGCCAGGTTGGCCTGCAGGTCACTATGTGTATCCCATGCAGGCCTTGAACTCACGGTTCTTCTTCCCCAGCCTCTCGAGAGCTGGAATTACAAGTGTGTACCACCATACCTGGCTCATGCTTGAGATCTCACAAGTCACCCCTTGTCTTCAGTGTTTTTTTCTCCAGTGATCTTGGCCTGGTCTGGTGTTTTTCCAGTTGGCTTCCATAATCACTACTGCATTCATTTGCTAAGGTTGCCATCATAGAAGGCAGCCTGCAATCATTCCAATAAATTCCATGTGCATAAATACATATATATATATGTAAATATATATATTTGTACATATACATATATACATATATATATATATATATATATATACATACATATATATATGGAGAGGGAGAGAGAGGTTCATTCCATAAGTTCTATGACTCCAGAGAACCCTGATTAATACACTACCTTTAATAAGCAAACTTCAGTCTCAATTGTGTCCATTTTGGTTAGATTTTTTTAGGTCTTTCCTCAACATACATTGGGAGCTTCTGTGCTAACCTTCGCCTGTTCTCACCGTTTCTTCTGTCCAGGAGAAATAGAATACTTAGAGGCAAAGATGAAGTTTAAAAAACAAACCAACCAACCCATTCCTATTAAGCAATGCAATGATCTGGAGCAGTTCTGCCCTGGGGAAGAGACACGAACACTTGGATAGGACTCTGGACTTGGCCTTGCTAAGAAAGCAGAGACTGCCTTTGGGAAACCTCTGGAGGGTAGTGTGTAATCATTCCTTTTCTCTTCTTTGTAAAGCTGGGTGTGGAACCCAGGGTTCCCTAGTAGATAGTACATGCTTCTACCACGGAACCCCACCCTAGCCTTGAAGCAACATGTTTCCAGTTTGTCAATAGGCAATCCTGGGTGTAGGGATGAAATGATTATTACAGTTGTTGATTGAGGGATCTGGTGTCCTAGTAATCATCTTAGAAGAAACCAAGTCTTGGTTGCCTCTCACCTCTCAGGTGATTTAACACTGACATCATCATCACTAGTAGTGAGAACTTCTGGACATGCTCTGTTCTTCTCAACATGTTCCAGGGTATAGGATACAGTTTTCTCATTGGCCTTAGCTCTTTCTTTTTTTAGGAACCTGGCATGTTGCTCAGCATTTGGGAGGCAAAGCAGGAAGATTATGAGTTTGCAACTTGTCTGAATAAATCTCTCAGGGCTTGAAAGGTAGAGGGTGTACAATAAGAAGTTCAAGGTCATAGTGAACTAAAGGCCAGCATGGGCTTCTTAGCTTGCTCCTCATTGTGATAAAGACCATGACCAAAAGCCACCTGAGCAGCTTTATTTGGCTTATTCCGCTCACAAATTACCAGGGAAGTGAAAGCAAGAACTCAAGACAGTAACCTAGATGCAGGAACTGAAGCAGAAGTCACAGAAGAATGCTCCTTATTGGCTTGCTCTCAATGACGTGCTCAGCCTGCTTTTTTATACAGCAGGCTCACCTGCCTAGGGATGGCTCCACACATCCTGGGCCCTCAGTTGGCTTGCCTACAAGCCAATCAGATGGAAACATTTTCTCAGTTGAAGTTCCTTCTTTCTAAATGACTCTAGCTTGTGTCACATTGAACACAAAAACTAGCCAGCATGGGATACATGAAATCCTACCTTAAAGACAAATAAAAACAAAAAAACAATGGAGCTCAGGAGGCTCCATATGTCCTTGAGGAACTATTGACACTTATTGGATGCTGGAGGAGAGAGAGACATTTTCTAAAGAGGTGTAGCCACTGGTAAATTGTCCATGATCTCATAACCCCTCATTTGTGCTCACATAAGCAGCCCCAATTAAACTCTGCAGGTCACCAAAACAAAGACGTGAAGGCAGAAGAAAAAAGGTTGGAAAGAGAGAGGGGATCGGCAGGAGTGGAAGAAGAACAAGAAAATATAATGGGCAGATGTGATCAAAATTCATCATGAAAATGTAATAAAACCCATTATTGGGGCTGGAGCCAGGGCCTAGTGGTTAAAAGTACCTGTTGCTCTTGCAGGATCCAGTTTCAGTTTCCAGAACCTACATAGTTTAGTTATCATGCACTAAAAATAAATCCTAATGAAATTCATTATTGTATATAATTAATTTATTTTAATAAAAATTGCAAAAGAAAGTTTAAAAAAAAAAGAGGGGGTACAGAGCAAAGGAAGGAGGTGGCCTGGTGTGAGGATCATGAATGCAGGCTGCAATGGGGAAGTGAATGAAGGCCACTGCTGTAGTCTCAGGCTTCTGCTCCCATCACTTAGCTGGGCTGTAGACACCTGTGCCTTCCTGAGAAAGAAACTGATGTTACGAGTTTGCGCGAAATTTTATGTAGTATTAGAATTTTTTTTTTTGTGTGTGTGTGTGTCTTTCATCGAAGAAAATCTTTGTGTATTTTGGTCTGGGGTTGGAGTGGCCAACCTGGCTGTGTTAGATGCAAGCGCTACCACAAATATTTTCAAACCATCACAGAAGGTAGCCGGGTTACAAGAGACCCTGAATCTCCATCTTCAGCATAAGCTTAGTAATATTTGTAGATACACACTTTGTTGATCATTACAGTTAAAAAAAAAAAAAAAAGCAGCTAATGAGATTTAAAAATTTTCAATTTAGTTGGGAAAGGAAGTTTTTCTACAGAAAGAGCGACAGAGAGATTGAGAGATCATAAAAGCGCCCTATATAACTTAGGCTAGGCCCAAACTTGGGATCTTTCTGCCTCAGCCTCCCAGGATATGTAAAAAACAACTGAAGAAGGTTTTTACAAAGAGTTCTTAACACAATTGCTATGTTTGGAGGAGGGTTGGCCCTGGACCCAGAGAAGTAAGTGTGCTGGAAAGCGTATTAAAGTCAGGGTCCTGGCTCTCTCTTCAGCATTACCATTTTAGCACTGTTCGTCTTTGGCCAAGACCTTTCCTGTTTTAGAATCATCTTTTCACCTGTGAAAGAGAGAGTCAGACTTGACCTCCTGGCACCCTAATGGCCTTTGGATCTTTGATCTCACCTGTCTTTTATTTACTTGTCAGGAAAGCAGTTTGACCCTGACCCTATACTGCCTCATTGTTCACAAGGAAAAGAATTTCAACAATTGCCAAAGGGAATGCAGGTCAGACTCAACACTGAGATTCCTCTAAACATATTTCTCACTGTAAGAACGAGTAGAAAAAAAAAAAAAGAACCAGTAGAATGTTCTAGGCTTAAGGCACCACTCTGTAATCAGTGTAAAGGCGATTGCTGATTAAAAGTGAGGGGAATGCTGGGAACATGGGGAAAAAAAGACATGGAAAATTAGTAAATGTTCAAATTGCCTTTATAGATGGAAAATGGCTAAAAGGGACTCTGTGGTGCCCTCTAATTGCTGCCCAGGAGCCCCAGAGAGTGCTCAGAGCAGAGTGAAGACTGCTGGAGAGCCCACACTAGGTCCCTTTCATGGGCCTTACACAGGGCTTGCTTGTTGCAGCCCAGGCTTGCACGATGCCTGAAGCCAGTTTCTGAAAGGACGGTCTGTGGATCGTGTGTGCAAAGTAGATTTCCACCCCTCAGGCGTTCCCTTTTTCTCCTTCAAATGTGCTTGCTTATAAAAAGCCCTATTCCCTATAACATGTCATTTCCCTCCCTCCACTTGCCTGCGTCAGTAACGGAACTGATTTCATAATAATTCAGCTTTCACCTTAATGTAGGATCAGTGAAGGTTGGAATGTGGTTTGGAAAGAAACAAATATATCCTTTCCAACCCAAAGTAAACTACCTCCTGTTCGGCCTCCAAAATCATCAACAAATGAGAACATCAGAATCTCCAAAGGGATATTACACAAAGCTATTTGGTAATAAGAAACAGTGGAACTGGACTGAAGCTCTAACTCAGTGGCTGAGTGCTTGCCTAGCATGTACAAAGCCCTGAGACCCAGCTTACATTTTGTTCCACAAAACAAAAATGAAACCAAACAAACCAACCTACAGAAAAATGTGACGTGTGCTACTTTCTGAATCAGTCTTCTGTTACTGAAGGCCCAACAGAACATACTCACTCTTCACTCATCCATTCGTCTGTGGGGAACCCACAAATGTGCAAGTCAGAGAGGTGGTGATCCTGGCAGATGGAAGAGCTTGTACAAGATGTGCTGCCCAACCCAGAACTGCTAGCCCACTGGTGACTGCTTAAACTAAATTTAATGTGGTTCAAAGGAAACCACTTTAAACATTTGTTGGAACGGTTCAAGAACGGTGTTGTGTGGGGAGAGTCCTGAGTGTTCCTGAGAGAAGTCCAAGAAGACAATACAAGAGTCTGGTGACCTCAGTTTTTTCAAAAACACAAAATGTGTTTTTGTGTCCCTCCCAGGGGTAGCGGATAGGGGAGTACATTTACTGAGGAACCTGCATGACTCCATTTTGAAGGCAAGAACCATTATGCTGTAAGTTTCCATTTACTGTAAGAGCTGAGTTGCTGTTTGTAAGTCTGTTTCTTTCCTGGAGCCTGACCTGTCCCAACCCATGACTTGTGTTTGAGAACACCCTACCCTCTCCCCCTCCTTACTCTCTTTAATCACCTCCTCTAATTGAATGGCAACCACTTGGTATTTTTTTGAGGGTTTTGTGTGTGTGTGTGTGTGTGTGTGTGTGTATGTGTGTGTAGTTTTGTATTTTCTTATTGTCCCATTGTCTCTCTTCTGTAAACCTGCTTGAACAAATCGTGATTTTACTCCTTAAAAGGGGCCCAGGAAATGGGCTGGGCTGCTCTCTTTAACCCGGCTTAGGAGGCAATCCCTGGCCAGCTCTTGGGTGCACCCCATAAAATGAAGCTTGCTTCACCTTGATTCAAAATTGTAGTTGTGGTCTTACTCTCACCCAGTAGGATTAACATTTTCTTCATTTATAGTTTATTCCTTACAACTGGCTGTTGTTACTTGTTACTGACTCTGTTGTGTGACTTATATTGTTATATGACTCAATGAAAAACATGTTTCTGCAATGTGCAGCTTTTTCTCATGAACGTATGTATACTTTACTCGTGTGATTCTTTGTAACTCTCAGAATACAGATTCTCTAATGCGCTGAAAAAGTTGGCTATTTCAGGAGACTTTAGTCCACCTCATTTTTTGGCTCCATTCTTCCAGGTCCCACTGCCAACTAGAGCGGTAAATAAACATTAGTTCTGTCTGTTCTCTGTTCCCTGTTTCTCTAAGATGCAAGGTGATGAGTCCAGGTCCACCCCCCACCCTACCCCCACTGCCCTGGAGGCTCTTGTCATCATGCCTTCCCCTCTTTGATAGACTGTAGCTCCTCAAACTGCAAGTGGAAACAAACTATTCCAATCTGTCTTGGTCTTTGTTCTATTGCTGTGAAGAGACACCATGACTAGGACAACACTTATGAAGGAAAGCATTTAATGGGGGCTGGCTTACAGTTCAGAGGGTTTGTCCATTGTCACTCTAGCCTCATTCAACTGCCCACGAGCCACATAGGGCTACGGGCCACTAGATTGGTGAGGACGAAACACAACATTTCTATCATATAGAAAGTTGTACTGGGAGGCAGAGGCAGACAGGGCTCTGTGAGTTCAAGTCTGGCCTGGTCTAAAAAGAGAGACCAGGACAGCCAAGGCTACAGGGGATGGGGGGGAAGTTGTACTGGATAGTGCTATAAAAATGGAGAGAATGTTAAAATTACCCAATGGTACCATGAACAAGCTGTTTTCCCCCTTGCAGTCCTCAGGATTACGTGTGCTAGGCAAGCACCCTGACTGGCTACCTAAGTAGATTGGTTGGCTCGAGTCTTGCGATGGATGAGAGTCACTCTGTTATGTCTCCCAACCCCCATCAAGACAGTGACAGAGGTAGGAGCTGATCCATAGGCAGCGGAAGCGCTACAACAGGAAAACCAGCAAAAGTTCTGGTAGCAGCAATGGCCATGAGAGGCCTTGGAAAGTTCTGGAGAAGGTTCAGTGCAGGGAGAGTGAGGATGCTTAGAAGAGGTGAGGAGTATGGAAGGCTGTAAAACCCAGAGAAGAGAAATGGCAGGCCTTGGGCATTGGGAGTAGTCCCAGGGGCTGTGTACATTAAAGGTCAGAGGCTCATGGGTTGTACCATTATATCCATGTCAAGGCTGGGGAATCTTTACTCCCTAACAGGAGAGCTGTTAAGCTAGAGGTACTACTTACTGCTGCTTGCAGCTGCTGGAAACAAGGGCCACAAAAACTGCCCGAGCACCAACACTGGGAGAGCTTCTCCTCCATTACCTGTGATTACTATCTGGACAGAGCAAAAGAATCCTGGCTGGCTGATTCTATCACACCACCAGGTACTGCATAGTGTATAAATAAAAATAGAACTTTACCTGACTCATGATTCCTGAAACTGGGAACTCCGAGATCAAGGCTTGTATCTGGTAGGGTCTTCCGGCTGTGTCATTCCACGGTAGAAGGTGGAAGGACAAGGAGGCATGGAGGGAAGAGGACTGAACTCTCTCTTATCAGGAACCCATTCCTGAACTGTTAGCTTCTCTCCAGTCCCTGCAGGCTCTGCCTTCATGGCCTAGTAACCACTTAAAGGTCCCCCCTCACGTCACTGTTGCACTGGAAGTTATTTTCTACAATGCATCAATTATGAAGGACGTGTATAGATCAGAGCTGTGTACTTTGTCTTCTTTAGGTGACTCATTTACTCCAAAATTCTTTGCCCTCTATTTTTTGTTTTGTTTTTGCTGACCTGGAATTCACCATGTAGACCAGACTGTCCTTGAACTCATAGAGATCCTCCTGCTTCAGCCTCCTAAGTGCTGGAATCAAAAGCGTGCACCACCACACCTGGCTGTTTTCTCCTTTTTATGGAGAAGGTAACAGAACACATGCAACAGAAAAGCAAAAGTGGCCTAACTTGGGAAGAACCTGGAATGGGAAATTGAGGCACAGAGAAAACCAGTGGGGGAGGGGAACAAATGAAAAAAGCATATATGACACTCATGTTTGAAGATGCCATGATGAAACCCATTATTTTGTGGGCAGACCTAAAACTTTGATAATAAAGAATTCTTGTCCTCTATTTTCAAATTTAAGGTAGATATATGTTGGGGGGGGGGATGTGAGAGAGAGAGAGAAAAAAAAGGAATCTTTGTCATTACACAAATCTCTTTACCTATTAACAGCTTCGAAAGGGGCACCTAAGTGTGTCCTCTGAAACCCAGGAAAGAAACCAAAGGACACTGTGGGCAGCCCAACAGCAGGCCAATTGCTTAGAATTCTCTAAGCCTGGCTTCCATTTCTAGCACAAGCAAACAACCCTCAACCCTGGGTCATGATGTAACTGCTCCTTTTTCTTGACTTAGACAGTATGCTTATTGACTTAGCTTCTCACCTTTGGATAGATTTCACATTGAGGATCTCCATCACCTCTTGACAACTCACATGCCACTCAAGAGCATCCGGAACCCACACACATTTAAAAAATTGTGACTCCCTCTCTTACTGAATTCAGAGATTACTTGGAAGGAAGTCACAGTAATTACACATGGTTATTAGAAACAGCACTTTCTGACAAAGAGCCACCATCTGTCTGAATGTAGTTCCAAGCTTATCAAGTTCCCTAAACAATATGACGATTCTCACAGCTTTTGTTACGCACGGTTGGATAGGCTGTGTGTTGCCTGAAGGGAACGTAACTGCCTAAGGCGGTCCTATTTATATCATGGGCATAATAGATTTGATACTTAAAATAACTGTAATAGTAAAAACAAACTTCCAGAAGGTGGCAGTAAAGTGTCTTGGTTTGTTTTGAAAAAGAAAGAAAGAAAGAAAGAAAGAAAGAAAGAAAGAAAGAAAGAAAG